TAAATGGATCGGGTTGTCAGGCTCACTGACTTGGTTGGTGCATTCCAATTGCGAAGCTCAATGCTCATTATGTCAATCACAGGATTGTCTGGTCTAGACATGATTATTTACAGACCGCCAATATATAGCTGGAATGTTGCTGAGTTTGTTGTTGAATAAAAAAAACACTACCATAATAATCATCATCATCATCATCATCGCAACGATCTCCCTTCATATACCCTGTAGAAAACATAACAGGCACATTCTCAATTGCCAATAAGAAGTGTATCAGTATTGAATAGAGCGATACTGGCTTTAACGTCTTTAATGCTATAGTGTTACAACTAATGTTACAATATAGCCCAAGTTAATAACAGGGATTGGATAGGAATGGATAGGGTTAATTGAAGCTTGCAGGGACTCATCAACTATCTTATCAAACGGGAAGCTTCCACATATACCGCTATCAACAAATGAAGACCTTCATAATCCCTGCCTATATCCCCTGTCAAAAATAGCATTAGTGTAACCGACTTCATACAAAAATATTTTCATTCTGAAAACCCTTTTCTAACACATGAATTAACACACAGCATGTTGCCAAAGTAAAACATAAACATCTTAATGGAGGATCATTCTCTCTCCCTGTCTGATTGGGGAAGGTAACTTTAGGACATTGATCCCACCAGGGCTCGTACAACTTGAAAATAACCCCCAACAGTCTGACATGTCAGATGCTTTTGATGTTGTGATAACCCTAATTTATATTACTTTAACTAAGACACTAATCTTAGTAGTTCTGTATTCACTTGACAATATCATTCAGATATATCACAGCAGGACAACATAAGCTTGGAGCTTCTTTGTGTTATGAAGATATATGACTTGTGTAGATACACAAGAAATGCTATCATACAGATTTGTAAATACATTAGGGGGATATTAAAAATATTAGGGGAATGAGAAAAACTGTTTGAATAGAAACTGTGCAGATGCTTGCTTGATCTTTTAGTTTGACTTGTTGTGACAACTTTTTAATTAAATTGTTACAAAAATATCTCATGTTATTTAATTATTTTAACATATTTTTTTACTCGAACTTTTAATATTTCATCTATTTTACATAACTATTTTTAGTTATATCTGATTCTTCCAAGAAATAGTTATAGCTACAGCTAAATCATCCATTTGGTGTCCTGTCATAGAAATAAAATATTCTTGCAAATGTAAGATAACATTCAGTATATACTGAAAAACTTAGGATGATGAATATTTTTGGGGATATTTTTTTTAAGTGAAGACTAAGCACTTATAAAAATATCACCCAAAATATTTATGATCCTTACTTTTTTGTTCATTATTGAAGAGAAAGCTATGATAAATATTTGTTTACGTTTATTCCTTTTATATCATCATACAAGGACGAAACGCATTTTCTTGATATTATTTCATTTCTACCTTGTTGGCTGGAGGCATGGGAGAATGACATCAAGCTCTATAACATGGCTAAAAGCACCAGGGTAGGTAGGTCAAATTGAAGAGGAAGGTACCAAAATGATCATAATTACACCTGATAAATGGCATCAAGTGTTACATCATGATTAAAATCACCAGGGTGGGTATGTTTCAATTGAAGAGAAAAGTACCTACACAATGATTAATCAACCTGATAATTTTCAAAATATACATTTTAGATTAAACTGAATTCCAAACATCTTTATTATCTCAAAAACAATCTCATTTAATATTTTGAAAAAATATAAAAACACTAAACCTGATATTTTCTGTCCCAGGAGCCTTATGAGTGAATCAGATTCACTCGCTGTAACTGTTAAGGCAATGATTATCTCACATTTTCCTAAAACACTTTCTAATCCCTCTACTTAACCATAAAGAGCTACTATTATCAACACCCGGGGACAAAAACTCCCACAGGTGTCGGACACAGATTATCCAACCTCCATCAAGAGGGTTACATAGTTTCCGTGGTCCTCAATTGTCCCATGCGGAGTTTTCACTGATTCCCCGGAACACAAAATAGGCATTTACTCTTACAAATTTCCCAAGCCATACAGTCCTGCAGAACATAAAGCCCTTTGGCCATACACCAGACTGGCACAGGTCTTAAGGGACAATTAGCCCAGCAGGACATGCCTATTATAGCTGGTAGGGGTTAACCCCCCTACTGCCCCCTTACAACATCACGTGGAGGCTTTATATAGGCAAGTAGGGTTACAGTCACAACATAATGATTACTTTCAATATATTACCTTATTTTGACATTGTAGGCAGTGGGGCTCTTCTGCTTTGTAATTTACCTGTCAAGTTTAATTTTATTCATTGGTTTTATTGCATGTTGATATTGGTTTTATTGCATGTGTATATTCACTTGTTGACTTTTATGTTGTGATTTACACCTTAATCAGCATATTACATGTGGAAATTATTAGGTGTGATAATCAAACATAAGCAGATACAATATTGGGTTGAGACTGAACTAATCTTACATTTTAATATAAATAATATCATATATATTTTTGAGATTACATATGTATTTTAGAATATAGTGTATTAATTATTATTGTTATCATTTATAAAGTTTATTTGTTATTATTTGTAAATGTCTGTACCAAACCCAAAGCGTATGTCTTGCACAATAAATAATTATTATCTTATTACATCTATTTGAAATTAGTCTTAGGACCTAAAATAATGTTCAAATGCAAACACACACACACACACACACACACACACACACACACTTTCGCTGTCATTTTCACACCCCTTATCCTCCTTCCTATTGCCCAACCCCACCCAACCCCCCGGCTTTACAATAAATGACCAGTCCCTAATGCCTGGAAACATCCCTCGCCATACCCCCGACTTCTCTGTCAGAACAGTCAACATTCCGTGCATGGCTGCAACATGCTTTCCAAAGTCAACCCAAACAATACAAGTGATTTCAAAGCTGACACACCTGTAAATTTGGTTTCCTACTCCGAAAAATAAACCACTTTGAGAGACACACAGGCAAGTTTATTCCCGACAGTGCGCTGCCAGCAGACACAGAAAACAATGTTTTTGATGTGAAACTCCAGTATCGTCCACATACTCATGTCTGTTTCAACTATCCACACTGTAACAATTTAAGACACAAGTTAGCATTCTTAGCTTGACTCCCTACAGCTACAAATACACCGTCCACATAGTTGAACAAAGTTACAAAGTGCTGGTGGTGATATATCTTATAACACTCTATGTTATCAAGTACGCTGGGTTTATTTCCAGAATAGTTTCATTCCGGGACGTATGATTGACGTTGTTAATTTCACGTTGTAAGTTTCAAAAGTAATTCACCGCAAAATTCGAACGTGGTAACATCGTATACAAAATTGCCCGAATAGTTAGACAGTTGTGAACGTTCAAATATATATATTACATATTCCTTACCACCAACTATGTAATGTATAAACGGGGATTAAGTTGGGGCCTTACTTGTGTATCGACTGACAATGCTTCAAATACCATCTGAAACACCAGCCCTTATTCAAATCCCCAAACGTACATCCATGAGATATAGATATTATAAATCAACAATATTAGCTACTGGGTAAAGTTTCTCGAGTAGTTCTCAAGTAGAAGCTGGTATATCCATGACAGGAACGGTCATAATTTATTCCCTACTTGAAAACGTGGATAACTGTGGGCGGCTCCCTACCAAATACACATACAAGACAAGTAGCGACTTGGACCCGTCTGTTATAATAATCACACGCTATTGATATTTCCTCGTAATGACAACAAACGGTTGTACCAAAATACTAAAATATCACATCTGAAACGTAATCCAGGTAATAAAATTATTTATAAATATTGACTTTAATTTCGAGCTGAAATCCTTAATCTGCGTTTTCCTATGAAAAACTATCCATAAAATATTGATAACCACTTGTTACAACAGACACTAACAAATGCCGTCTTTCAACAATAAGCATTCGTCGTCAGAAGATTCGGGAACTGTTGCCACTGTTATCCCGCCTCGTTAACCACAGGGCAATTTCTTACACATGCTGTATACATGTCTAATTTGCCGATGCATATTCCGTTGGGTCTTTGCTACGTTAGGCCGCCAACCGTGACACCGTCAACTCCCATTCGCGGGCGAGTGCCTGCCATTCATTACCGCGCACCAAAACAATTTCACACGTTCTTACGAGGTCCTGAAAACCTTCCATTATTGTTTACTTTAGACTTGCGAGCAAACATCATAATCCACGGGTCAATAGCATTGACAAAATGTTAAAATTACTTATGAATGAATACAATTTTAACAAGGAAATGGTGAGATGTTTTTACAAAACAAACATTTTTGCAGCGTTGTTAAATTCTTGCCCTGCGTTTTATTGGCTTTCGTGGAGGAACAAGTGATAAACATTGACTTTGATGAACATAAACCCATGTTGTCATTATTATGTCCCATAACTCGGCGACATTGACATCAGCATATACAAGCAAGTACAAATATAAAAGCAATATTGTATACGTTGCATTCATTACATTCACTCTGCGAAACAAATTATTTTCACGTTCCTACAAAAATACAGTTTGTCGTCAAACTTGATGACCAATAATAGTAATACACTTGAATGAACCTTTTGGACGCTATTCGGAGTCACACCGTGCGTGATAGCAGTAGTTAGATAGCGCTAGCATACTCTAGATTGCGATGACGATCAGGGTTTGCGAGCAGTCTTGTTAAGAATCATTCGTCACCACTCGCTCCTTTCCGTAACCTGTATTCGGCTTGTCCCGGGATAACACGAGTTAATGACGAATGGTTGAGAATAAGAGTTATCCCCCCTTTAGTAAGGCCAACCGTTTAGTTCGTGTATTTCCAAGGTGAAAAGTATACGTATTCATTCATACTGGTGGTGTGTTCTTGATTCACAGCATACTAAACAACGCTTCACAATTTAAATACGATCATTTGGGATCATTTGTAAACATTTTCTTCTTACCTGGGAGAAATCTAGTTCGTTGAGCGGCACACACTGTTCTTCGACACGTTCAACAGCTCCAGTGACTTTACCTATCCGTTCTGCCGACTGCGCAAGGTATAAATCCAAAACAGGGATCCCTCGGGATTTGATATCACTTTCTGTGAGGGAATTAACCATAAGCATCACCCAAACTGGTCGCTTCCTCTCCCAGTTTCCGGCAATAGCATTAAACAAATAGTCGGCATACAGGCCCCTGCCCTTCTGATCCGCCGACATCCACCCTGGCATCATGAGGCGGACATATTCTAAATGTTCCTTCAGACGGATATATATGTCCCTAGGTAGCACGTCCGAGAGATTGGCCCCATGGGGCAACAGCTGACAATTGGCAAGGGACGTGATGGTGTAAGGATCTGTCAAGTCCAACTCAAAGAATACATTACCGGCTTGGCGAAATGCATGTTTGGTGTTGCTGGGAATGTAATCCCACACTCTTGTGTAGGGCACGTGAATTGTCCCGAAGAAATACGATGGCGGGTCGCGGTGAATTGTCCACAAAAAAGAGTTGAGTTGACTTTGCTGAAAACACACAAGAATATACAAGGTAAAGAATTGAAAATGAAAGACGGATCGGGTTACCGCTGTGAAAATATACCCGAGACGGTGGTGAAAAAACATGAATAAATTCAAGCCTTGGAAGAACGGGTTCTTTACTGATGGTTAACGGGGTACATATAAATCGGGGATGAGAGAAAATGTAATCTTAGAGTAGAACAGCCGACGGTGAGATATTTCGTTGTGCAAACATATCGGATACCTTTGGTTGGGAGACACTGGTGATTGCGAACTGTGGGGAAGATGACAAGATTGTGAAGCCATTAACTCGATACTAAGAACCCCGTAACTATCAATAGAAAGCCCACTTCAATGCACAGCTCATCGGGCTAAGCTTGTGATTTTGTGAATAACATATATTTCACGTCACGAGGTAGCAATCAACACGTAACAAGATCTTATTTGCCGGAGAAAATTAATAGACTCGGGTCGTAATTTGTCAAGAAAAAAATGTAACCTACATTCCTCGATGAAATTCGAATAATAGTGGCCGTTTTTTTGTATGACAGGCTTTTTCGAGCAAATATTGCAAGTTTAAACTCTGATTAAATGTAGCATTATAATCAATTTGAAATATTATTCAACGCATGGATAATTTAATATTTTTTTCATTTTATAAATTATATCGATAGCGATAAAGGTGAAATTCTTAGTGAAAAAATAAGGGAAGTACTTAACACGAGCGTTCAAATCATAGCGTTAAAAGTGCGCTGGCTTCTTGAATTCAGTGACCTCTTTTTAAGCTAGATTAGAAATGAGTGTAAAATTTACTTTATTTGTACAACAAGAACAAACACGGATTTTCTCTCAGTAACTGGGGGTCACAGTACAAGATCGAAATCACAGGAGTCCGCTTGACGCGCAGGGTCTAATACAAACAGAGAGATTGAAATATCATTCACGGCAAAACGAGTATACTGTGTGAATGGGCCCAGACAACGCGAATCTAGAGTATTGTGATTGCTGCGTCCATTCACAAGCAGGTTTTATAACAGGGAATTATTGTTAAATTGGGAAACTTTTTTTATCGAGTGATCCGAGTCCATTTACAGTGCTGCATAAACTGTGCGCAGAAGCATTCGGATCTTCACCCTCCCACCGAGCCAACTTTTCGCGACAATTATACTCGTCCTGTAAAAGACACCTTTGAAAACATATCAGGTTTACCATGTATGTCTCTCACAGTAAGCTACAACCCTAACCTGAATGGGATAATTCTATAGCTGTGACTATTTTCTTTCCCAGTTTTATCACGCTCATAGCGATGCAAGAGATAGTCGGACAACAGGAGAATGTTACGTTTCTACTCCGGATATGTCCGACTGATGCCGATTGCCTTCTGGGTATACCCGAAAGAACCAAAGATCTGTTTTGGTAAATATTGTTGTACTCGCTGATTACAACCGCAGGTTATTTTCGTTGGCACAATGCTCTATTCAACTAAAATTATTCTACTTTTGGCATGACTACAAACAAAACAGTTACGTTGTTTACAATGTCAACAAAATTAATGAAAACGTACTTAACAAAATCTCAGAAGCAAACACTGTGTTGTCTTTAGTGTTGAAATCTCTACGAAACAATAGATAGATATAACATCACAGAAATAACTCCAAATAACCATCTTCTGTCAGATAGATCTGAAGCGATATCTGAAAGACTTAAGGTATGACACAATACATATCGACATTAAATACAGGTTAAAAACACTGCTTGATATAGCCTAAATCTTGCGAGACAGGATTCACATAATTCTTCAAACGGAGTGTTTCTAGAGTCAGTTCCTGCTTATTGAGACCGTAAAGTTTATGGATATGAATTGGAAGGAAGTCATATTTATCAAAGATCTACCTTCAACATAAACACGGGCAGTTATGGGATAAAAACATTTTTCACATGCACAAGGGAATCGTTACCCCGTCTTAGACATTCAGTGAAAACCATTGCGTTTCTACAAAATCTGTTTATTCCATTGCACGTCTTAAAATAAACTAAGGAATGATAAACCTAGAAATAAAATATATCTCCCAAGCTCATTTATGACTATGTCTGTTCCTCATTATGTAGTCTGTGTTTAGATATGGAAATTAAATTATTCAGAGTACTTACATCCTTGGAGGAGTCGCTATCACAGTTTGGCTTTTTCCCTGTGCCGGCTTCCAGTCGTCTTGCCATGGAAAGGGAAGATAGTATGAATAAAGTGCACAAGACAATGTAGACCATCTTGACAAGGTTCCATGGATATATCCACGAAGAGAACCCTTCCTAGGTACCCGAGATAGTTCCAAATGCGCCGGTCGCCTAATAACGAGGGCGCAGGCTAGTGTCCAGAACCAATGTGCTCGGCCCTGGGGGGGACGAGGGTCAGTGTGAAGTGTTGTGGTTGAACTCTGTACACCGCTTGACAGTACTTTCACCGTACAGCGTCGGGCTCTCCACAAGAGCACATGTCCGAACGACGAGCCATTTTGTTGGACACTGATTATCACTCGCTGTCCGTGCTGAACTCAATCCATCGGACAAATTTTGACAAGTTAAATCGTCTTGATGCTCCTGGCATCCTATCGAGAGAGCTGGATATACCATAGAGAAAATTCGCCTGGTGCGCGCACTTCTCTCCGCTTCGTCTATTGGTTCATTGTTGACTAAAAATAGATTTTGTTTTGAGGAATGGGGGCGGGGGGTCCGACTGAAGCGCTGGTCAGTTCGTGGTCATTTTGAGACTGCCCTCGAAGAGCTTTCAGTCATGAATGTTGTATTGTATGTGACCACAATAAACAATGGGCCGAGTTATTGATATTGCTTTTATTCTTTCTGAAAACCCTGAAAACAATTTTGAATTCCCGTACCATAAAAGCAATGTTTCCGGAATAGGGTTTTCTCACTCAAAGAAGATGACTTGTTGGGGAGGTAGTTAGAATTCACAATGGCAAAATGTCATATGTGGATTTCATATTGCCGTACTTCAAATACTCTGACAGCCGTGCGCGAGGTTCATAAAATCAGTCATGGTTTTCCCTACAGGGATGCCCAGCGATGAGACGGGGCTCTGCTTGGTTAAAGGGGGAGTGGGGGTACTGTACCGGCTGGACTCGGCGCGTGTCGCGCATTCTATAGTACTCCCGGTTGTAGAGGACTCTTTATCCCTAGCTCATCGCCCGACGTCTTTGGAAATTCGAGGTTATTTTTTATGTGAATTGACGACTTTTTGGATTTTTTCTCCTGTTTGTCAGATCAACGTATTTCCTTTGACGGGTTTCTTAGTCATTATGCAAAGAATGCTGAAATAACCCACTGAAATAAAAGTTTCAACAATATAAGTAAAACTATGTTCAAATTAGCATATTGAAGTTAAACGCTCAATTTCTAAAATGACGATTATTAAAACGAGACCTAGGCCAGTCTTGCTGAACAAGAATATAACTTGGAATGTAGTCGTACAATACATGCAGGATGTTCAACTGTTTGAGTGACATTGTAGAAGTTGGTGAGTAAAATAGAAAAATACAACTTTATGGATGATCATTTCTGGCTTATTGCATTTGGCCACGATGGGATGTAGATTCTTACAGCCTTATTAATCTTGAGTGTGGTGCATCAAAATGTTGCTAAATGCATTAAACCAGAAGTTATGCATCAAATATGGGTTTTGTATATAGCATGTCGTTGATCGAATAGTCTAGACCCTGATACATTTATATCAACTACAGCCCATGCAAGTCTATAATGTTTGGCAAGTCTAGATTACTGCAGTATCTGAAAATGAAGAGAATCACTGGGCTCCCTTTTTATTAGATTTTTATTAAGATAACTGAACAACTGTTTTTTTCTGTACGATATGTTCATTTCTGAGACTATATGTTAGTCTATTGATCGAACATCCTGTTGGATAATGCTCTGTTTAATGTTGTATTGTAAGGTACGTTTTACCTGATCGACGATTTCATGATTAGAATTTAGAAACATAAAAACTGGAAAGCAATAAAAACATGTACATAAACGCTGAACTTGGAAAGTATATCCCCCACTTCAAACGTTTTAATGATTTTGAACTAATAATGATATGCATATTTCTCATTCGATCGATATGAAATCATGGACTATATGATAACGTGTAACAGGGGACTATGCATGTACAGTAAACTATATTATAGTAAACACGCTTATAACGAACTGACCGATATAACGAACTTTTTTAAAAATCCCGACCATTTGTTGTATAAATGCTGTATATATGCTTTATAACGAACCATGGTTATTACGAACTAAAAAAGTGGTCCCTTCGAGTTCGTTATAACCGTAGTTTACTGTTTTTAAAACGAACATACTGTTTTATTAAACACGTTGAAATTTGAACAAGTCGAGATAAAACAACATTCTTTCACACCGAAAATCTGAGCCGCGCATAAACATACGATCACTATTAGTAATCTTTGATTGTTATAATAAAATACATTTTTGGGCATGTTAGCATTAAAATGATCTATGTAACAACTGTTCTTAAATATCAAAAACTGTCATTTTAGCTACGTGGGATCATGCAATAATTCTTGAATGTATCATTAAGCAATTAAAACAATGTCGTTATTAATATTTAAAATACGTATAAAACATTTGGTTTATATCAGTAGTTACACAACTCCAGGATTCAGTGTCTATTTAACTGAGTATTAATGTTCTCGTCAACTGTCACTCCGTCTTTAGCTGCCTTAAAGGCGTGGCCGTGGTGTTGTTTTTATCAGCTGTAGGGCGACGGTGGGATTTAACAGTAATTAGTCTAAGCTGTCAACTGTTTTCTTTGTTTGTATATCTTAAACAATGCCTTAACGTAAATGTCACTCACTAACTTAACGCGAACATTTCTCAGTTGTCTTTGGCATGTGCTACATTTGAAGTAATGTGTTAATTTTCACACCCAATAAGAACCCTTTGCTAAATCCCATGCATAATATTTTGATATGTTTACAAATATTCTCGCCGCATTGTCAACACGATTGTTTGAAAACGCATGGGAGAAAACACAAAACGTACATTAATAAAATAACAATAATAATGAGGATGAAAACGATCTGCACGATTGAGGACATGGTGTTATATGTTGCTTGCCATCATCAGTATCTTCGGGGTTGTTGCTCAGGTATGTATTGGTATATCGGTTATTAATGCAAGGCTGAATCAGACGGGTTGCATGTCCTGTGCGTTTGAACTATCACAGGAGAAGAAGAAGAAGAAGAAGAAGAAGAAGAAGAAGAAGCGTGTATCTCAAGCTCTTTGCAAAATAAGGAGTGTATTTTGTGATCTGTCTCCCAGGCTCTCGAGATTAAATAAAAAGGGAGCCCAACTCAAGTCTAGAATGATAGGGCAAGTCTTGATTAAATTAAGCTGTTCAGGGCTCTATTTGCATTCCATTTATATTTTAGATATATTGTTTTAAATAAGATAACTATATTTCTGGGACTAGACGTAAGTCTAACCACGTGTGTTAACATACAAATACTAGCTGAATGACAATATTCCATGAAATAATTTGTGTTTGATAATTACGTTACTTTTGTTGACAAGTAATGAACTGAGTTGGTTAACATGCACTTGCTATACCCACTCACCTATTAAATTTGCAAGAGCACCCATGCACCTACCATGGTAATAATGCAATGCAAATTTACAATTTGGGACCCCCACTTTTTCGAGATCCGTCCCTATAAAACTTACGAAATGTTATTCGATATCACGGACTGTATAATTATGACCGGTCAGTGGATGGTGCTTTTCACAGCAAATTTAGATTCTTGTTCACTGAATGTCACGAACGAATTACATATATATATAAACATGAAAGGATGCCCTGCATGTCGAAATGTAAATCAAGGTATTTGTTAATTGCGTCTGTTTCCCATCACACATACAACCTAACAGGGGTCACGACCGATCTCCCGTATTTGCATCACCCCAAGCTGTAGGCGGTAGGCGGGTTTGCAGGTATGATCAGCGAGACACCACCTTGCATAATGGGCGCACGCGGCCATAGTGCGCACAAGTTGTTACGGCTATCAACTAAAACTATAGACAGTATCCCAGTATGACGGTACATATAAAAGCAGTGTGCATAGTCGTATAATTTCCATGTTATTGGTTATGATTTATTCATAATATGTATAAAATTAGAAATTGAACATTGTTTTATATATATACGTTTATTTGACCGCCAATTTAATATGTACACGAACAATCCTATTTCTAGAAGATATATTTTACTCGTAAGGACAACTATTTGGTAAAGATCAATTCGGCATGTATATTTTGTTGTTGTTGTTGTTGTTGTTTAACGCCGCACTCAGCAATATTCCAGCTATATGACGGCGGTCTGTAAATAATCGAGTCTGGACCGGATCATCCAGTGATTGATATCATGAGCATCTATCCACGCTATTGCATGAACCAAGTCAGCGTGCCTGACCACCCGATGCCGCTAATCGCCTCTAACGACAAGCATAGTCGCCTCTAAAGGCAAGGATGGGTTGCTGAAGACCTATTCTAACCCGGATCTTCACGGGTAGTTCAGCATGTAGTCCTTATTTAGTCTAGTCTGACACTGTAGACTACGAATAGACATTTAAGTTCAAAACGTGAACACGAATGAAAACATGTACCACAGGAAGATATCAATGATTTTTGACAAAAAATTATTGATTACTTTAAAGGAATAAAGTTATAATGCTTCATCTTATTGTGTTCGTTTATATGAGATATTCGAAAACAATATGAATATATGAACGGTGTATTCTGAATTGAAATATTTTTTTTATTTTTGTGCAATTTGTAGAAATATTATTACAAGGATACGAGTAGGGGCGACGATGCAGGCCAGGAATGTATAAACAACAGGCAATGGGAACAATATTAACGTGATGGTTATTATGGACTTGTATCCTCTTTGTTAACAATTTCAATATTCAATTTCTGAGATTATCTCAGAAAAAAATCCTTTAAAGGACAGGGCGCACGTAAAGAGACTTCACGTAGACTCCAAAAGTAAGCATGAACAAAATACGAAGCACGAGTGTAAATTAATGGTTTCACGCGCTCTGAGACATTCTTTAAGTTATTTACAGACACCATTGTTGACGTATTCCAGACATCTTTGTTGAAGCGAGATTTAAAGACTTCACCAAGTGATGACGTCACACACTATTATTCTTGACGTCTTGTGGATGTTTTGAGCGACCCGACACGCTTCTATTCCACAGCAATTTGTTAATTACCGATAATATTGATATAATTAGAATTCCTTCGTCCACATACGGTCCAAAGATAATGTCGCGGTAGACCCGTGAAGATCTGGGTTAGAATAGGTCGTCAGCAACCAATGCTTTCCGTAAGAGGTGACTATGCTTGTCGTAAGAGGCGACTAACAGGATCAGGTGGTCAGGCTTGCCGACTTGGTTGATGCATGTCATCGTATCCCAATTGCGTGGATTGATGCTCGTGATGTCAATCAATGGATTGTCTGGTCCAGACTCGATTATTTTCAGACCGCCGTCATACAGCTGGAATACTGCTGAGTGCGGCTCTAAACAAGAAACAAACAAACAAATGACGTCTACCAAATT